GGGTTTTTCAGCTGGTACTAGTTCTTGGAATGTTGAAAACTATGGCCTACTTGAAAGTTCTAAGAATAATATATCTGATTTTGAAGCTCTTCAATCCTCTGGTTTTGGAGTTAGAGGCAGGTTTGATGGTACTACTAATGAGTCAGCATTGCTTGGATTGCAGAAAAGATGTACTGTTGGTGATTCAATGGGGTCTTTTCTTAATCATATGCAGCCCAATGCTTTGTATTCTGGCCCTAGTGGTGTAAAAAATCAAATGAGTTGTATATCAGGGCAAAGAAAAGAGGAACAGGGAGATGGTTGGTATCAGAGGAAACCATCTCTTGCTAGGCCTTACCTTGATGAAGAATTTTTTTGCTTACAGCTACATGGAACGGATTGTAATGGTGGAAAGGGCCTTATGTATCCAATGGGTTCCCCCCAGTTGTCCTCAGTTGCTCAGTTGAATGTGGACAATCTTTCACATAATCATTCAATGATAAAACAAAGGACTAAAGTAAACCCAAATAGTGGGGTTCCTGAATCTTTCAAGTCTATGAAATGTGCAGGGGAACTTGAGTGTTTTTGTTGTGAGGATAGTTTCATAATACAAGGAAAACATTTGAATCATACCATCAGCAAGGGTAGCAAGTCTTCAAAGGGTTACAAGAAGAACTCTTGCAATAAGATGGCAATGCAGACAGAAGGAGAGAAAAGCTCTACACTGGATTCCAATTTATATAATGGAGGAATTGGTGGGAGTGAATGGAGTCAGAGTAATAATAGCTCAATGCGGTCACTACTAACTTTAGGTTCATTGGCTGAGGTCCAGGGATATATATACTTCATAGCAAAGGATCAGTATGGTTGTCGATTCTTACAGAGGATGCTTGATGATGGGACCTGTCAAGATGTGCAATTAATATTTGATAAAATAATCAATCATGTTTTTGAACTGATGACGAACCCGTTTGGCAATTACCTTATGCAGAAGTTGTTGGACGTGTGCAATGAACAACAAAGAATGCAATTTGTACTCAAGGTGACCAAAGAACCAGGACAGCTTGTCAGAATTTCCTTAGACACACATGGGTATGTCCTTCCTTCTGTACATATTTGTGGTTACTTCATTTGTAGTATTTGTTCTTTACTAATTTCTTGCTTCTAAACATATTGGTGCTACGGTTTCAGCACTCGCGCGGTACAGAAGTTGATTGAGACTGTTAGAACTGGGAAACAGATCTCATTAGTTAAATCATCCCTTGAATGTGGTTTTCTTGATCTTATCAAGGATCCAAATGGTAATCATGTGGTACAACGTTGCTTGGACTGCTTTAGCAATGAAGATAATAGGGTATGCTGTTTTTATTTATTTAATTTTCTTGTGAGCTTCATTGTTCAAATAAGCCTCTTAAGATTGAATATCTCTGTATTGAATATCTTCTAATTCATGTTTCTTCTTCCTTTTCTTTTGTTGTGTTCTGTCTTACACGTTTCATGTGATAACCTAGAATAGACACACACATACATATTGGTTGATGCTGGTCAAGCAAAATTCTTTTAATGACAACTATTGTGAAAATGCAATATTCTTGTCAAGTCATTTATTTGCTATAGGCAATGCACTGGTTTGGTGCAATATTTCTATAAAACTTGGCATGCATGTTTATTGAAGGTGTGAACTGTTTCATCTGATGTGTGCAGTGTGCTTATAATAGGGCAACCAAATGATAAATCAAGTACTAGGTGGTCTTTAGTTCCAATCCCCTGTCATTTGGGGCCAGCCACTCTAGTTTTCTTTTGTATCTACCTTGAACTAGACCTATCCTTGATCGTTCTGTGGGAGGAGTCTAATCTTACATTAATTAACCAGTCTCACCAACTCTTTCCCAGTTAATGCTTCAAGTTCTCTACCCCAAAACTTTCGAAAGTATGATACCTTTCTGTTGTTTATGCTGATGCCTAAAATAGTCCCAACTAATCCGATGATTGTATAAGTGAAGGTTTCAAGTCCAGTGATGATCCCTGGGCACCAACCTCTGGACTAGGATCATTATATTGATTGTCATGCCTCAACCTATTAATTTCTATCTAATTTCTTTTCCTTCTGATTCATCTAGTCCTCTGTAAGTTTCTTGGTCACTACTGTTGGTAAAGTCAAATGCCCTTGACTGTTGATCTAGACTTCAGATGGAAAGGTATCTTACTGTTTTGACAAATTGTCATCTGATCTTGAAGATTTTTATCGCTAATATCGACAGAAATTTTTTCTTTGGGCTCTGAATGTCGATTTATAGACTTGGTTTAGGAAAGGCTAACACACCCTAAACTAGAATACTTTGCAATAATGCCCGTCCTTGTTTTCCTTAAACCCTTAGGGTGAGTTTGTACTCTAGAAAGTTTGAGGGCTGGGTCAGATATTTGCAAGTGAGCAATTATGATATACTACTCTACATAGGAGTGAAGACGATAAAGTCTGGATTGAAAGAACCACATACCAATACGTAATTGCGTTGCCAAAATCAAAGACTGACGTTTTCAGTCAGAATGCTAATAATATATAAATCAACATGTCACATAGTCTGTGCATGAATAGCAAAATTGAGATGTTGTTTCCAACATGATTGGCGCAAACTTAGCATCTTAGACATTTTCATTGAGCAAAAAAGGATAGAACCTTTTATTGGGCGTAGAACAGAAAGAACAGAGCTCGACTAACACCTACAATTGTTAAATATTGCAGAGCAATGAGGCACTTACAATGAATGCTTCATCAGTTTCAATAGACTATCTTTGTTGTGTTTGTTTGAGTTTAGAATGGGAAAGTGGAAAGGAGGTGATTTTAAGTCTGGTTTAAGATTCTATTTGTCAGGCCTCCAGCAGAAGGTTGATGGAATGAACTGGACTTACTATTTTATATGTTTACTTTAAAGTATTCTACAGTGACATGAAATATAAACAAGGATGATTGGACAAAATGACTGAAATCCAAAACAAAGTTCTTGAGAGGGATGGTGATGTGCTTTCTGTAGGACCTACTTAAATTTTGTTGAAAAGACGCTGAACTTCTTCTGTTAATCTATCTCTTGCAGTTTATTTTTGATGCTGCTGCAAGATTTTGTGTTGAGATTGCAACTCAACGCCATGGCTGTTGTGTACTACAAAAATGCATTGCACATGCCATTGGGAGACATCGAGATAAGCTGATCAATGAAATTGCCAGGAATGGGCTTCTCCTTTCCCAAGATCCTTATGGGTAATAATTTACAAGCGTCTTTGAACTTTGTTAATTTCTTGTCTTTGCTAGCCGTAAACTCACTAATATGATGTGGTAATCCGAACTAGCTAGAGTGATGTTTATTTTGTTTCTTGAGGAGTCAAAAGTTTTTCCCACTTGCAATTTGTTTGATCCACTTCAGATGCAAACATAAGGCTGATCACTTATATATTTATATTTCATGCTTACAAGGACACAACTGCTAAAGTTGATAAGAATCTACATATTATGCTACAAAACTATTGTGTTGCTTTCTTTTTTCTGTCTTTCCAAGCCAAATATTCAATTTGTTATTTTACAGTTCACTATTTTATTTGGCTTTCTGACTGAAGTAGGGTTTTTATTTTTGTTCCATTTGGTACACAGGAATTATGTTATTCAGTATGTCATGGAGCTAAAGATCCCATCTGCAATGGCCAAACTGATTAATCAATTAAAAGGACACTTTGTACGCCTCTCCACACAGAAATGTAGTAGTCACGTGGTTGAAAAATGCCTCAAGTATTTTGAAGAAAGCCGACCAAAAATCATCCATGAATTACTCTCAGTTCCTTGCTTTGAACAGTTGTTGCAAGACCCTTATGCTAACTATGTCGTTCAATCTGCTCTTACAGTTACCAAGGTTTAGGAACCAACATCTCTCCAAGTGATTTATAATGGACTCTCTCTCTCTCTCTCTCTCATGCACACACACATATGTCCTAATATTTTTGCTTTATTGGCAGGGCCCTCTTCGTGCTTCTCTGGTTGAAGCAGTTAAGCCTCATACAATCTTACGAACCAGCCCATACTGCAAGAGGATTTTCTCACGGGAGCTCCTGAAGAAGTGATGTGTTTTAGCCTATATAGAAAAGTGTTGTTGTTTTCTATGTTGATTAGTAATAACTGCTCTCTTTTGGGCACCTAGCTAAGATATGAGATGTTTGTCTAAATTCCTTGCTGGTCCTCAGATGAAGTGTGCAATTTTGGATGGCATTAAGAAGTCTGAAGGAGTTCGACCAGAGTTATGCTTCCAGTTTCTTATGATGCAGTTGCTTCTTGTAATACTCTGTTGTTTTGTGTCTTTATCTGAACTTGATGTATGATATTCCACAGTCAGAATAGTGGATTTCTGATTCAATGTTGTGTAAATGTGATGCAGCATTTCTTTCTTGAGGCTGAGATAGTTTAATGGCCAACCATCTCTTTTTCGTTATAAGTAGTGCTGTTGGTTCTTTGCATGGGGCTTGCACTGTTGCACCTCCCCAGGTACACGGCCCTTTGCGGCGTGTAAAAGTCAGCAGAAACAATAGATGAAGCTTTTCCTCGAATTCCTTAGTTACAGCTAATGTGTACAACTTCTCATATGCTAGCATGTGACAGGTCTTGTAAGACGTACGTTGTACACACCGGCTTTACTCAGGAATATTTTTCCTTTAAGAATCTCTTCTCCAGACGCACTCATCTACCCACAGAAAGTGAAGCAAGAGATGAAATATCAGAGCACATCATAATGAATACGACGAGGGTTTGGTGTTATGAACAAGAATGTATAACTTGAATCGCAAGTAAGATACATTGCCCTTCACACTTGCCTTTAATCTCAAGTATGTAAATGGCTTGTAATTATTTTAAAACTTTTTCCAATGACTTAACTGATGGATCGCTATCAAAGAATGCAGAAGCCAACCAGGGGCTGCTGTCTAATATAGTAGAAAGTTGTCAAAACTCTCAACTCTAACTTCAAGTTTACTGAAGGCAACTATTTATTTCATAATATGAAGATGTTATATCAGATTGCCGCAGATAGTTTTATTCGAACAGACATAAAAAAGCAAACATAGTCAGGAAACCACATATAAGATACATTGCCTCCACAAAACTCTTAGACTAGAACAGCTCAAGCATCCTCATGTCCAACCAGGGCCAGAAGCATTTTTTCGTAATCTCCAGTAGTGTCTTTTTTAATGGCCTGGTCCAGAGTGACACTATTTCTTTTGTGGTACTGTTCCTTTATAAGATTCATGTCAACCTCAGCTCTTGTAGTGACAACTCTACTGAGAGCTCCTTCATCTGTTCCTCGTTTGTTGATTGCCAGACGAAGAGACTTCTCAAAATACTTCTCAGGGCGGACCAAGCACTTAATTGTGGCCCTTAGTATTGCAAGGTACTCATCCTTGGGGTCAGCTTTCAAATCCTGTGAATAGAAACACTCATCAAATCCAATCCTCTGTGGATACATGGCAAAATGTTTATGCAAAGCTCACTTGTGTACCTTATTTATGTCATTCCCAAATTCATTTTTGTAGTGATTGAGAGTTGCATTGATCTGTGCTTTGTTCCGCGTGGCCAAAATCCTGATGATATCCTCATCATTGTAGGCCTTGTCTGAGATCTTCTCATGCAGTAGCTTAGCCTCTGATTTTGCCAGTGTCAGGTTCACCTCATCTCCCTCATATCTATATGAGCTAACAAGAGGGGCCAAAAGCTGGGAGGAGCAAAGTTAGATAGTAATTCTCTTTTTTGGTACAAAGACAGTGAAATTCTCAAATGAGATAAAACTTGATATGTTAAGTTCATACCAAAATTTACGTTGGCCAACAAAAATGAACTTTTTAACATTGACATTTTGGAAAGAAAAAAAAGAAACTAAAGGCATATCAATGGATAAATTTAGTCAATTCTTTGCTAGGAAGTTTAGTTATTGCTCTTGGTAGGGGCTGGGAGAATTCTCTTAGAAAATAAACTATATCCCTTCTAGGCTGAAAGAACTTATACTCTAGCAGCTGTACCTTGCGAAAGTCCCCGGTTGTGTGATGTGCAACATCCTCTTTGAGGGACTTCTTATAGCGAGAGTGATAAGCCTGCCTTGCCAAGAGTCGTTCAAGTGAAGACCTACTGCAGGCTATTTCAGTAAGAACCTGATTGCTTTTAGTCCACTTCTTTGTTGCTTCATTGGCCAAAAATGCATCGCGTTCAGCTGGATCAAGTGTCCAAAGCAGTGTACTCCTCTGGTTAAGAGAAATTCAGAAACCCAAATATGTCAGCCCTTTCAACGATGCGCTTGCTTCCTCCCAAAAGTTAATCAGCCAAACATTAAACTTGTGAAAACTAGTATCATGGATTCTCATCCAATCATGAAAAAAGACAGCTGAAAACAATGAGCTAAATCTCTGCCTTGTCTTGGCAAAAATCAATCATGGTAACAATTTATGTAAAACATGCAGTCAAATTATCTCAAACTAATGCAAAAATTAAAGTGCATTCTTAATTTGACCTCAAAATCACTTGTAAGTTCTTTTTCCAGCTCCTTGAGAAGATCTTCTCCATAAGCTTCAGCATAAGTTTGTCGGATCACCTTTCTTTGAGCGGCATTTCTATGCCCCAAGATGGATATGATTAAGTCCTCATTGGTTCCCCATCCTGCAATTGTATTGATAAAAATTCAATATTACATGAAACCAAACACCCCAAACATGAAAAGTCACATAAAAGAAAGAAAGAAGATAAACTCTGGTCTAAACTATTTTTGCTGTTTTCTATAATTATTTATTCATGTCAAAATACCATTTTCATGTCAAATCAGGTCCTTTACAAACCTGCGATAAATCTTTACGTACCGATCATTGTTTTTTTCTTTTTAGATAAATTATCCCAAATGCATTATTTTCTTCTGATACAAACAGAGCTTTGGTGCAGAGTGAAAGCATCACCGTTTTACAAAAGCAAGCAATCACATTCATATGGGCCTTTCATCAACCCACCAAACCTCATGTACACAAAACACAAATCTGATGCATCTGATCAATGATGACAGAGAGAGTCAAAAGAGAATTAGCAGAACGAAATGAAAACAAAAACAAAAAGGATCCTTTTTACATTATCAGATCATTTACGTTGTATCTAACACTAACAATCCGATCGGTGAAATGGGATTGATCAATCATCAATCATAAAGCCAATTACAAAATATGGGTTGGTTTATGATCAGAACAAGAAATGATGCGAGGGAGTAAAAGATCAGAAAATTAATAAAGAAGGAACCTTTGAAGGCCTTTTTGAGCTGCTCACAGTCTTCGGATGCAGGAGGAACTTGTTGAGGAACTCTAAGGGTCGACATCGTCACTATAGCTCTCTCTCTCTCTCTGTCTCTCTCTCCGTAAGAAAATCGAAAACGAAAATGGCTCTGGTCTATGAACCTCTGTTTCTATATATATATATGGTGTTTGGTAGCTATCCATATATAGTAATATAGTATGGCCCTTGCAATTATCGCCACGTCAAATACTATATTTGTTCCTGTTATATTGGTCTTGGTCATTTAATTTTCACAATTGAATTGTTTATTAATGATTTTGGGGTGGTTTACAATTTCAAATTCTCGTCTGTATATGCTGCTACACAGAGTATATAAAATTACTAAACAAAACCCTTGTCTTATTTCATTTTGTTTTTCCTCACAAGGATAAACAAAACTGTAAAACATCCTAGATAAAGTACACATAGAGCCATAGCATAGCGCACACGTGTATGAAATAAATTACAAGAAGGAAACATCTATGGAGAATCTTTCTAAACAGAAGACACAGGAAAAGTGAAATGTGCATAAGAAAGAAGCACATTCTGATCAGGTAGCCAAAGGATCAAGAGCAAGCAATTCACGACATGTCATCATATGTACCGGCTTCGACAAATGCAGCATCTGAGTTGAGAGGAAATGAGAAACTTGTTTCATTGTTGGACGAGATTTCGGGCTGGAATTCAAGCATGAAAATGCTATCTTCACAAGAGAGACCACTTCGCTTGCAACTTGATGCGTAGGAGGGGAAATGCGTTGGTCCAAAACATCCACAATTGGTATTTGATGGGCTAGTAATGCAGATGAGGAGGAGGAGGAGGATGAAGAGACTGATAAAAAAGATGAGAAAAGATCTTCAGGATGCTTTCCCATAATTATTTCCAATGTGACCACGCCAAAGCTATAAACATCGCAGTTCTCATTCACTTCCATTGTGTAAGCAAGCTCTGCTCAGAGAAAATCTCAGAGAAGTGGCATTATTAGTTTATAGACATAACTATTCAATGGAATTTTAACGAAACTGTATCTGCATAAATCGACTTATTAGTTTATAGCTTAAGAGATGTGAAAATGTGTTTATTAGTATATTTTCTAAATCAAAGAAGTGAAAATGTGTTAATGTTAACCACTCCTAATGATGAAAATGAAGCATTGGTCTAAAAGCAAAAGCTTAAAAAGTGCTAAATACAGAGAACATGGAATCACAATATTACCTGGTGCCATGTAGCCATATGTGCCTGCAGTGGCAGTCCAATTAGTTGAGTCTGGATTTAAAAACTTAGCAGTGCCAAAGTCTGAAACACAGGCCTCATATTCAGAATCCAACAAAATGTTCTTGCTTGAGATGTCACGATGTACAATCGGTTGCAAGCAATCGTGGTGCATGTAAGACAAGGCATGAGCTAAGCCTTTAACAATATTCACCCTTTTACTCCACCACAACTTTTTAGCTTCTTCATCTTTGCTCAACATTGCGGCCAAGCTACCTCTTTCAAGATACTCATACACCAAAAACGAGTGTCGTTTATGTGCACAGAAACCATAGAGCTTCACAATATTCCGATGTCTTATCTCA